GAGCTGGGGGCCAGAGTGGGGCCAGCCTCAGCTGCTCTGGAGGAGACAAAGCCCCCGGGAGCCCTGCACCTGCTCCACCCCGAATCATCATTGTTCATAATAATAATAATGATTATAATAACACTGATGCTGCTGAAGCAGGCCCTGCACAGCTGGGACGGGGCAAGGGACAAGGCCGTGGCTCATTTGGGGGGGTGCGGGGAGAGGGTGGTGACTCCTGCTGCTGTACAAGTCCTGGGAGTCCAAGGTGGGCAGGGCAGACTGCTGCTGCAGGCTGGGGATGGGGCTGCACCAGGCTCTTCCAGATGGAGGAGCTGGGCTGTGCTCACAGCAGGCGGCAGTGGCCCTGGGAAGGGGGGTTGGGTGGGCTATGGTGAATTCTGGGGTGGCTGCAGCCCCCCCCCCATAGCCCCCTCCCAGCAATGCCACCATCCACCACAGCCCAGACTGCCTCCCCCCCAGTGAGAAGAGTCTGGTATAGCCCCGGCCCCAGCCCCCAGTGGCAGGTTGCCCTGCCCCACGCAGATCCAGGGGCACACAGAGATCCAGGGTGTGTGTAGCATCAAGAGCTGCACCCCACATACAAGCTGTTTACGGCTCAGTCCTGCACCCCATTGGCTCTGCCATTCCTGCCCCTCCCCTAGCCCCATTCCCTCTCCACCCCTGCTGCAGCCACCAGAAGCTCTCAGCTGGGCTGCCTTGTGGCCCTACTGCTTCCCCGCATTTGAGAGGCTGAGCCCTGTTAGCGCCCCCCCTTCCAGCGCCTATGGCAACAAGCTATACAATTAGGCCTCAAAAATGTGTATTAACTTTATAGCTGGTTGTTATTAAGCTTTAATTTGCATGTGTGACAGGGTCTCCCTTGTAGCTGAGAGCCCCATCAGCCAATAGGGCTCCCAGCTCCAGGGGTATATCATGCCCATCGTGAAACCTTCAGCCCTGGGGAAGATGGCAGCCATGATCCCCAAAGCTTGGCAGTGTGTGAAATTCCTGGGATCAGCCAGGACCAAGATTCCTGTACCTGCTGGGGCTGTGGGTCCCAGCTGCACCTCACATGAGGCTCAGCCAGGACTCGGAGCCTATCAGGTGCAGGGACTCTTGGTCCCAGCTGCACATGGCCCCCAAGACTGGGAGCCCCCTCAGCAAAAGGGTGCCTGCTTCTTGCTGATGCAAGGGAAGCCCAGGATCAGGCTCCCCCTACACTCACAATAAGGTACAATTGGATCTAATGTGCAGTCACACCTCCTGCTATGCACATGTGGTATGGCAGGAAGCACGATTGTGTGGATCACACATTGGATCCAATTGCCTCTTTACCTGTAGGTGTAGAGGCAGGTCTAAGGATTGCACAATTTACTCCTTAGAACCAAAAACAAAGAAGTACAAGAGTTATCGTTATTCTTTTTTTACACTTATTACTGAAGTAGCATGAAACGTATCTTTACTTCTGTGAAGAAGTGCAATATGTAGAACTTCACAAAATATCAAGGTGTAGATAATTTAATAGTAAGAGTTGCTGTGATGTTTTCTTATTAAAAAAAAAAAGCTACATAATATACAGGACTTATGTATATACCTTTGGCAGATGCTATAAATTCACATTGAATGGAGGTAGGGAGGGAGTGGGGGATGAATATTACTCTGTATGTACGCAGTCAGTTTATGAAATTCCAATAATTCTGGGCATTTTTGTCTCATCGTATTTTATTAGTACAAATACAGAAAATTTATAAAATGTGTGACTTCCTTGCATTTCCTTTGTCCTGGGTCTCCTGCCCTGGACTGACTCATGAATGGATTCAGGAGGTTTGCAGAAGTACAGATGCACCCCTCTTCAGCTGCTGCCACTGCTGTTCCCAGCTGATATGTACAGGGGGAACCCCCAGGGCTACTTCTGCCCTGCTTTAGCCACAGGCTGCAGCTGTGTGGGGTGCCAGGTTTAGCAGGAGACAGCCGCATCTCTGTACAGGTTCCTCCTTTCAGCACCTGCCCCCTGCCCATCTGTCCCCCAAAGGTGTCCCCCACTGACTGGGAGAAGGTGCTGGAAGATTGAAGCTGCACACCACCACCTCTGTTGCCAGCTGACACAGGCACAGGCAGAGTCCCAGAGCTACTTCTGACCTGTTCTGGCCACAGCGGCAGGCTGTGTGGTAATCTGGGCGCAGCTAGGGACAGCAACAGTGGCTTGCAACTTGCTCCTTCCAGTTCCTGTTCCTGACCAGTTGGTGGGTAAGGGGAGTCTGTAGAGAGCAGGGGCTGGAAGGACAAAACTGCAGCTGTCACTGTCCCAGAATGAATCCAGCCCCCCTGCACAACTGGAGTCGAGCAGGAGTAGCTCCATGCCCTCTACCCCTTAGCCAGCTGGGGACAGCAACAGTGGGTGTCAGGGCATTGGTGGTTAGATGCATGCTTCCTGCCTGGTTCCCTGATGTACTCCACCAACCTGGAAGCTCTGGCTACACCTTGCCCCTGTCCCCCCATAGTCAGAGTGGGTGCACCATACCCCACCTTTAGTAAATCCTGGATCTGCCCATGATCAGCTGTCATGTAACTTGAGATAACCTGATGCTAATATATATTGCAATACTTACTAGTAGACTTAAGGGTGCCTGGAGCTGCCAAATTATTAGGTCACTCAGCCATATGCTGTTCCTCTGGTCATGTTCCAGATGTCAGCTCTGTTCAACTGGACAAACCCTTTTTTGTTCAGTTACTGCTCTTCACGAGTAGTAAAGCTGAGATTGTGACTGCTTTGCAAAAAATCAGTATCTTTAGCCTGTTGAGTCAGACCTGCTTACTTCACTGAAGTGAGAAATACACAAGTAAATCAGTGTAAAATAAATGGTTCTTCATCTCAAACTTATATGCTACTTACAACTGTCAAATTGACACAGTAACACTTCCAAAAAGGATGACCATTGAGATTCTATCAGAGTTTAGTATATGTTCATATAGATGGGGGTGTGGGTTTGTGCACATGAATATATGTATTTACGTATAAAAATTTTGGATGCTATCCCAGTAGGAAGCTCCAAAGCAGTAACAGTAGGATTCATTTAACAGCCTAGCAAAAGAAGCAAAGCATTGAGGGTCACATTCAAGAATGCCTTTAATTGATGATGTCATGTGGCAATTACAGTGATTTATAAAGACCTGATTAAAATTTTGACCTGGAAATGTCACTGCTCTGTCAGTAGGTTAGAGATGATGGAAGACATATTTTCTACTTTACTTTTGGTGTATTTTGCTTATTAATCAAAGCCTACTCTTCTTTTCTTCATATAATTTATTCCATTATACATTGCAGTTCTTCAGTTTTTTAAGACAGTATCATTAGTTGTCAACTGCAAGTTATAGATCATTGATCCATAAATATATATTACTTTGCCATTACTGAAGGTGCAGCTCTTCTTTTTTTCTTGAATAATAATTTTTAAATATATAAATGTTATTAGTATGTACTTACATATTAATGAATAAACTACTACATTTTCGAGGCCAGAAAGGTTGGTAGTCTCTGCCATTGAATTTCATTCTATAATTCCTGTATTGAGCCCAATAACTTGTGGCTAAACTGCAGTATATGAATGACATCTCATCTTTATTTGAATTTCTGTATTGTTGTCTAACACGTTCTCCTTTGTTAATGATTTCTGATAATGCCATATCTGCTTTCTGAATGTTCTAAAACCTGTGAAATTGCTGACAACTGTATGTGATACATTTCCAAGCATATTTTGCAGTGTGAAGTGGACCCAATGATTAAGCTGTTGAGAATAATTTATGTTATCTTAATTAATCTGTATTAATTTTCTCAGTTACAAATAACAAATTACATATACTGATGATTTTCACTGTAAGGGCATTGATTTAATGGAACATGTGGTCATTTGGTATTGGGAGCACAGCCATAGTATCACATCCACTGTTTTGTTTCTCTTTTTCAGTCATCAGGCACCAGTATTACAGTGGATATTGCTGTCATGGGAGAAGCGCATGGGCTCATTACAGACCTGTTGGCAGATCCCTCATTGCCACCCAATGTGTGTACTTCCCTGAGAACAGTGAGCAATCTGCTTAATACACAGTTAACATTCCAGGCTATTCATAAGCCAAGAGTCAACCCTTTGGTGTCATTCAGTGAGAACTATACTTGCTCTGACTCAGAAGAATGTCCAGAAAAAGGAGAAAAACTGGCTATACCCAAGGTATGTACTTCTCTGTGTTGGCTGTCAAAGTCATTGTATTCTGATTACTAAAATTTGACTCCATCAACTCCACCTTATGGAATCACAGAAAAGTAGGGATGGAAGGGACCTCACAAGGTCATCTAGTCCATTCTCCTTCTCAAGGCAGGATCATCCTGAACTAAACCATCTCACGCAAGTTGGTTGAACCTGCTCTTGAAAATTTACAAGGATAGAGAAACTCCACAATTTCTATAGGTAGCCTGGTCCAATGCTCGACCACCCTCATAATTGGAAGGTTCCTCCTAACTTCCAACCCAAATTTCTTCCACTTCAGCCTCAGGCCATTGTTCCTAGTCCTGTTCCTTATGACCACAGAGAAAAGCCTATTTCCTTCCTGTTATCAAATTCCCCCTTGGCCTTCTCTTCTTCACGCTAAATAACCCTAGCTCTTTTAGCCTTTCCTCATAAGTTTTGCTTCCCAGATCACTAATCTTTTTTGTTGCTCCACACTGCATCCTTTCCAATCTGTCCATATCCCTGAGGTGTGGGGCCCAAAACGACACAGTACTCCAAGTGAGGCCTCACCTGTGCTAAATAGAGCAGAAGAATTACTTCCCTTGATTTATAAGTGATTCTTCTGTTAATATGACCTAGTATGTTGTTGGCTTTTTTTTTCAGCAAGAGCACACTGTTGGCTCATATTCAACTTACAACTCAACTGTAGCCCCCAGTCCATCTCTGCAGTATTGCAGCCTAGCCAGTCATTCATAAGTCTGTATTTGTACATGCGATTATTCTGTCCCAGTTGCAGGACTTTGCACTTGTTCTTGATGAATCTCATCTGGTTGACTGCAGACTGTTTCTTCAGTCTATCCAAGTCATTCTGGATCCTAGCCCTACCCTACAGAGTATCTGCAACTAGCCTGTACTCAATCCAATTGTCTAAATCATTAATGAAGACCTTAAACAACATCAGACCCGGACAGATCCATGGGGAACCGCACTTGAGACTTCCTTCCAACTAGATATTGAGCCATTGAGCCACCTGGCTAGACAAAAATAGACCACCATAAGCTTTGGATCAAGGCTTCTGTGACCCATTTGTCCACCTGAAAAAAATTCGGTAATTACTGTGAGGTCCCTTCCATCCCTACTTTTCTGTGAAAAAAATACCATGCAAGTCAGTATTGCACACAGTATAGGCACCTATACATATGTAACAAGGCTGCTCCAGTGCACCATAATTACAGCATGTTGGAGCAGACTCAATTAACCAAGTCTGCTGGATCACGGTAATTACTGTGCTCCAGCAGATTCCAACGTGTATCAGTGTCCCCACACTGAAAAATGGAAATAATGGGAGATTTGGTAAAGATTGATTGGATGAGCTGTGTTTGAAAGCACAGCAAACAAAAGTAGAGGAAACTAACCAATGCAGTTTATTCCCTGCTTCTCCACCTGTTAACAAAAGTTAGCAGGTTAAAAATAAAACAAAAAAAACTCTCCAGTCACCCTGAAAATATTCGAAACTGCCCAGGTTGTCCATTCTAACTTCTAAACAATTTGTTAATTTCTCTGGTAAAACAAGAACATAAAACTTGCTAGTAGGAACTAATTGTGAAGCGCATTTTCTTGTACTTATCCTGTACAAATAATTTCTGCGGCCTGTGATTATAGAGGTGATTGATAATATTTTTTTTACGCTTGGACAGGACTCTGAGTGTGTTTCATTCACTTAACCAGAGCTTTAGAATTACTTTAATGGGAATAGAAAAAATCAATACAGAGTGGCAAGCATTGTGCTTTGGGGTACAGGCATTCACACAAACCAAATGGACCAGGCATAAAGCAGCAGTCTAATATGAATATTTAAATAGTTTAAAAAAAATAATAAAATGCACATGGATCAACTCCACTCTGTGAAACAGGTGGTGCTGATAGATTTGGTTAGTAAAAGTTTCTACCACTTCAGGTTGTATGACCTTGTACTCAGTACTTTGTAACTTTAACTATTTGAATTGATTATTTGTATGCCCAGGTTTGTGTCCAGCTAATTTTTAGTTGTTATTATTTTAATTAAAACAAAACTATATGCAAAACGGGGCAAGGGAAAAATTCTGGTAGCCCTTAATTTGAAAAATTCTGGTA